TCATTCGGTACCAAAAGGACCCGTAATTTGATTGCGTTCAAGTCTGTAACCTGTGTATTTAAAAATAGTTTTTCATTCTTGGGCAGCAAAATGAAGTTTACTTAAAGCCAAAGGACAAATTTAGAGATTTCAAATTCTTCAAAACTTTTGAACACGTGCATCTAAAGCACGGAGCACTGAATTATTGAAACTTTGAGCAATGAATATCTTACACCGGTAATTAAAAATTGTTTTCTTCAGTCTAATTTTCTCTGAAGCAGGATTGGATCTAAAGGTCTTGAATGTTCGTTTCCAGATGGAGATTACAATAACATCCAGTTTACTTGGCGAATAAGGACAAAAATTTGCATCGGAGTTGCTAGAGGACTTGCCTACCTTCATGAGGAAGTGAGACCTCATATTGTCCACCGGGATATCAAAGCAAGCAATATACTTCTAGACAAGGATCTAACACCTAAAATTTCAGATTTTGGTCTTGCAAAACTGATCCCTCCCAACATGACTCATGTCAGTACACGAGTGGCAGGGACCATGTAAGTTTTGAAACAATCTCTTCATCCTTGTACTGGACCTATGAAGGTTCTCTTTTTGAGGATGTCAATCCTGGTTTAACTCTTATGCATGAACATCTAGTTTTGTGAGGATTTGCTCCCCCTCTAAACCTCTAAGTGGATAAAGATGCCTAGATTTATGGGTTTTGATTAGTTATCCTAGTTTAAACCATAAGACTTTGAATGTTATTATCCTTCTTAGTGAAATCGGGAACCATTTTTTATGACACTGAGTTATTAATGTCAGCTATATTGTCGTTGCAGTGGTTATTTGGCGCCTGAATATGCAATAAGAGGCCAGTTGACACGTAAAGCAGACATTTACGGCTTTGGAGTTCTGTTAATTGAAATAGTTAGTGGAAGATGCAACACCAACACAAGACTTCCTATTGAAGAACAGTATCTTCTTGAAAGGGTATGGTTGTTGAGTCACTTCACCTTTAGGTGATCTTTTACACTTTCATAATTGCCATATATGTTAAAGTTATGAGCAAATAGCATCAGCAATGGGTTGCTGCTTGATTCTCAATTTCATTGATTCCTATTTTTGCAAGTTTTTGAGCATTCTTAGAAGTGAAAACAATCTGATAGGAGCATAAAATCTGCTCATGGACAAGTTTATAGTTAGCTATTTTAAATCGTCAATCAACCTTAATTCCTTTTCTTTTTCTTTTTCCCATGGAGAAACATCATTAATATTTCTTTAAGCAGAGGAAACATAGGGAGATTGGATTTATAGTTAACAGAGTATGTCTGTGATTGAAGCCAGATGAAGAGAAAGGATATATATTGGCAAGAAAATTTGTAGGGTCGCTTTATTAATGCTTTATTTTGTTCCTTGCGATTGAGGGAACAGAATTGGAGTTGAGTGGCCCGGATCCAAATCCCTTGTGTGGTTCTGAGTTAAACAAGTAGAAGCAGAACTCTTCTGCAAGTTTGTAGGGCCCCTTAAACTGTCAACAATTTGTTGCAATCCAAACCCTGTATTTGTGTAATTCAGTCGAGTTCTATTTTTCCAAAACCAGTAAGTTCAGTGCTTCAGAAGTAGAAGTCTCCATTTACAGGGTTATTTAGTATTTTCATGTTCAATTTGAGTTCAAGCTGTTTCTCAAGTTCAACATTGGATCTGTTTTGCAGACCTGGAAACTATATGAAAGAAGGGAACTAGTTGGGCTCGTAGATACAGCACTAAACGGGAATTTTGATGCCGAACAAGCATGCAGATACCTGAAGATTGGGCTTCTGTGCACTCAGGATGATCCGAAACTTCGACCATCCATGTCCAGTGTTGTCAAGATGCTAACAGGTAAATTAGATGTTGATGAGCATAAGATCACGAAACCAGGCTTAATCTCCGACTTCATGGACCTCAAGGTCAGAAGCAACGCCCCTAAAGCTAAGCCTGGAAGGGATCATACCCCCGGCAATTATGCATCCTCTGGCTCCGACAATCTGGATACCACAAGATTAACTTCAGCAGCTTCTTCTCAAGCAACCATGACGTTTACTTTTCCATGCACCCAAAGCATGTAAGCTTAGGGTAACCAAATTGAAGAGGTCGTTGCATTTTCTTTCTTTATTCTTTTACCATATTGGGTGAGTGAATTTTATTCGTTACCTCGTCAAGATGTGTATTGCAGTGGCAATTAGATGATTATTAGATTCCACCCCCACCTGTTTCATGTATGTACATATAATACGAATTTTTGGAGTCAGCTCTTGCCAATGCCAAACGCATTATTAAAGGAAGAGGAAAGCACTGAGTCGTTTCAAAGCAGAGTTAGAGAGTAGCCCATTGTGGAAGACATGGACATGTTCTCATTTTGGCATGGGCCTTCCCAATTTATAGCTTAATAATAAGAAGAGATGGTTGGCAAAAAGTCGTGTGTTCGATTTCGCTACTGATGCAAGAATTGTGTTGGCGGGTAAGTGATTTATGATTTCAAGAGTATGACCTGACCTACGTAACGATGATCAGAGCTAAATTCACTTAAATTTTTATTTATCTAAAAAAAATCCTCTACCAGACTAGGTTGTATGTGAGAATACGAACTTCCTAGAGCAAGGGTTAGGTTTAGGAGATAAAACAAAAAAAAGAGGTGTTGAGAACCGTTTTGCAACACTGTCAAGGAAACATTTCAAATCTAGAATATGAAACCTGCAAGTAAGATGCATACGGAGCGAAAATGGTGAGAAAAACAAAATGAAAGGACGAGAGTACAAAAAACTGGCCTATGGGCATCTCGGAAGTCCTTTCGGTTGTTTCAGATACACGCTACTCCACAATCAAAGGAACGACTGCAAATCCCTAGTAGTAGTGGTAAGCCGAGCCCGGCAGGTAAGTGCATATAAAAAAAAAACCCCACCGGATTATACAACTGATGAAGAAGATGAAGATCGATCGATTGAGATGACAAATTCTTCAACAGCACGAGGCTATTACCGTCATCATATCAGAAAAATTTAACTGAGTTGTTACCTGCAAAGTGTAAATTGCCTTGAATATATTAACAGTCTCGTCTTGTTGAATGGTTTGAATGTGTGATATAATCCGAGTCGTGGAGTCGGGTCGAATGGTTAAACCATTTATTACCCAAACGAGAAACCCACCCACCCCAGTGTACAGCTGGGATCTTTGGGAAGGAATAGTGGAACACCTAACATAACTTACTCAAGGTGGAAGAACTACCGGCCTATATTTAATGGACCCCACCAAAAAAAGTTGCTCTTTCTTTTTTCCTTTTCTTTTTTTTTTCCTTTTAAATTATTAAAAAATTATAAAGAGCAAAGCGAGAACTGGCCCCCACCTTCTCCCCATTTGGATTATCATTATCCATCATTAATTTCTCTCCCAGAATAAACTAAAACAAAAAGACGGTGGATGAAAGAAATAGAGTATATTACTGAGTTTGTTTGGACAAAGATAATTTGATTTGCAAAATTTATTCTCACAAATCCCAATCACTTTTTTATTTTTTCAATCACCTTTTTATCTCACATACATCACATCACAAAAGTGCTACAGTAAATATTTCAAATAAATCATCCAAATAAACTCTTATCCAAACAAACTCACTGCTACTGCCATCTTGCGAGTATATTCTCCGCTTGTATCTTCTTCTTCATTCTAGTGCGACCCTGCCTGATTCAGTTGCTACTCATTCTTCATCACTTCTTTCTCTAATTTCTCTCTCTCTCTCTCTCTCTCTCTCTTTTTTTTCATTATTTGGGCATTTTGGTTGTCTTCTTTAGCAAACCATTTCTTTTTTGCTGTGAGTTCCAGTTTAGCTGTTCTCTTGGTGAGGATGAAATCATTTGAAGTTCATTTCACTTTTCTACGTTCCGTCCTGTACAACCCAAAAATTTACAGTACTAAATAAACAGATTATGCTGGTAAAAACTCTTTGTTTAATGTGAACCAATCCCAAATGCTCTCTCTGTTTTTTCCTTTTTCCCTTTTTGATGGACTTATTAGTGCTGAAGAAACGAAACAAGCTTACATTATAGTGTCACTGGCTCATTCCCCCCCCCCCTCTCTCTCTCTCTCTCACACACACACACACACTCAAAAAACCACAGTGGGGAGTGGGGTATCTTTTCTCTTAGAAGCTTTTTAGCGTTTGTCTCGTGTTATTGGGTACTTTCTTTTTCACAAGCATTCTCTGATAAATAAAGCTAGGGTTTTCTGATTTCTCACAGGTAAGAAGGGGCAAAAATCAGGTCAATAAAGCCTCAAGAATCAAGCTTAGCTTTAGGGCTCCTTCCCGTCCAAAAAGAAATTTCTTTTCCCCTTTTCTCTCACCTCATTGTCTCTCTCACATCTCCCCTCTTTCCGTCGCTGCTCCATCTTTCACATGCAGATTAATTAGTATGTGGAACTGTGTGTAGGTTTGCATGCAGATGTGGGCTGTCTGATCCGTTGTCTAAGATTTTTGGTGTTTGAGGCTCTTGATGATGAAATTGTGTTGTGGCTGTGAAGGAGTTTTCTGTTCAGGGTCAATACTGTTTAGAAGATACTGATAGTGAAAATGTGCCGGTAAAGTACATGGTAGAATATTGGGGTCTATAATTTGCCTTTTGGGAAACGTAGAGGTGAAGCAAGTTGAGTGTTTTGCTGGCCTATTTTTAGTCTTTCAACACTTGACTGCGTTAAATGCTTCCTTTATCTGCTTGAACATCGTATATTGTGGATTTTTTCAGAAAATATTGTGAATTCTGAACTGGGTGCTGCTGTAGTTTGTCGGGATCACAGTCTACTTTATAGTCCCATGGGTAATTTTGCTGCAACAGCAGAGCAGTTCTGCAAGGGTAAACAACCATTTATGGATTTCAAGTTTTCTGGGTTTTGACTAGTAAGACATCTGGATTACAGTTTGACGCTTTTTTGGGGATTTAAGTACAGGATTTGGTCTTTACTACTTCTGTCTGTAGAAAGTAGCATTGGTTGAAGATTTTCTATTTAGAATGGAGGATATTGGGCTGTTTAAACAAGTTTGGAAATGGTTGCAATCCAAGAAAATTTGTTACTCTGTTGTGAGAACAACAGCCAGCTGTTTCCGAGACAAGATTGGGATATTTATAGAGAGGCATTGGCCAATGGTTTGTTGTGCGTGTGCAAGGCTGGGGAGACTGATGTTGCTTTTGTTGATTCGATGGAAGGATTGTGGAGTCAGAGGATTTCGGTCGTTTATCGGGCTTGGTTCGGCAGCTTTGCTTGTTATCATGTGGAGTTGTTTTCTTAGTTTGACATCATTATCGTGTCTTGTATATGTCCTTCTTAGTATGGTATATCTCCACTTCTTGAAACTTCTTTTCAATTGCTCAGTTTCATTTCGGATCTTCTGGTTTTTGGCGAAGATTAGCAAATTTTCCTTTTCACACACACACACACATACCTTCGATGGGCTTGCTCATTACTAAGAGTTTGTTGTTCTAGATTGCAGTCATGTAGTAGCAGTTGCTGGATATGTGAGATTTGTGTTATCTGTATTGTAGTGTATGCTAATTGGGGTGTGACACGATGAAATGGGATTGAAATTAATGATTTGATACTGATACAATCTTTTGATTCAAATAAGGAAGAATTTGACCATCTCAATGGAAGAATTTTGTTGACTTCGATCGTGTCTGTAGAATAAAAAGGAAGGTTTGGAATATTGCAAGTACATGGGAATAGTGCATTTCTTCTATTTTAGGATGACTTGAGTTCACTTAGCTATAGATTTACATTGATATGTTTAGCTACTAAATTTACCCAAATTTCTCATATTGGCACCTTTTTAATTAATAAAGATCCTTTGACCAATTTTTATTTGTAATTATGAGCGAAATTTTCCAGGAGTATTTTATCTGGATGTAGATTTAACTTATCTTCCTTAAATCACTGATAGTCTTTTGTTGCCAGCTGGAGTGTGGACTTTTTATTTCCTTGTAACTGTGATGAAATGCCTGGGTAACAAATTTTATGGATTCTCTTTTGGAAAGACTCAGAAGCAGATACTAACAGTTGCTTATGTATTTTCAGGGAGCTGCTGGGATTGCTGTACAATACTTGGGATATACTCCTGGGCTTTTCATTGTAGGGCTTTTTGCCATCTTAATTTTGTGGATGTATGCAAACTTTTGGATAACGGGTACATTGTTCATTGTTGGAGGTATGTCGTGAATGAATGATCAAAGAATCCTAGTAAAATGGGCATACATCCATGGTACCATATGCATATGAATATTTCATTCTCTTTTCTTGTGTTCCCGTTGTGCCCCTAATTCTGCTTGTGTCTGTAGAGAAAATTGGATCTCTTCCTCAGATTTTGGGAAAGACCAAATGATGTATACATAATGAATGTGGAACCTCTATGTTGACTCCACTATCTGATTCATTGTTGATCTGTCCTGTAAATAAGTTCAATTTTACTATTGGAAGGAGCAAGTAAAGCTATGTTTTTGTAGGTTAAAAAAAATATGTACATACTGTTCTACTGTACATGAACTGAGTTTTTAGCGTGTTAGTTTAATTTTTACATGGTATGGATGATTTTTTAACTCAAAATACATGTCTTGGGGCCATACTGAGGGAGGGTGTGGCAAGTTATTTAAGTCGTATTCTGGCTTCTTACCTCTCTTTTTTAGTGTGGAAATGATGTATAGGAATTGCCTCTTCAGAGGTAGCAGACAAGCGTGTATGTGAAGCTTGGAAAGTATGCTTTTGTCGTTTATTGATTTTCTATGGTCTGTGCATGCTTCCGGGACATTAATATGGGTATAGCTTTAAGGAATTCCATAGAAAATATAATGGAACAATATCTTGTTTTCCACCTTGGATCTAGTGGTCATAGCGTTGTTCAACAATACCTCTGGGTTGTGGTCTTAATAAGGCAGCTCTGCTTTTGAGAGTACAAATATGGCTTTTAGCTCATGGTTAAATTATTCCAGCGAGTGTTTACATGTATTTGTATGGTTTCTCCCGTCTCTTCTCTGCATTATGTTGATCTAAGCGTCTTTTTGGAAAATGCAGGTTATCTGTTTTCTCTGAATCATGCTCGGCTGGTGGTGTTGATGGCTATGATATATGCTATGTATTGTGTGAAAGTTCGCGTTGGATGGTTTGGAGTCTTTCTCTCAATTAATCTTGCATTCTTGTCAAATGATGTGTTAAATTACGTGCTTCAGTGTTGTGATAATTTGAGTGAAAGTGTGCCCATTGAGGAGCAAACAAAATCTGAGTCATTCACAGAGGATGGCTTCTCTACAGAGTGTGAGTATTCTGTGCCTGCTGATGAACCAGAAAAGGTGCAGTCTTGTAAATCATCCAGCAAACCTGCTGTGGCATCATCTTTGGTCAACAAACAAAAAGAATCTATGGCCAAGCAAGTTATCAGAGAAGATGAAAATTCCATTATTGAGATGAAGCGGATTTTAGGTAGTAACAATCACTATGAAGCACTTGAGTTTCCTCGCAACAAGAAAGTTGACTCTATTTTATTGAGGAAGGAATACAGGAAAAAGGTAAGGTGCTCTAATTACTCGAAGTTACTTTTTGCTCTTTGTTGCCTCTTTCTTTTACTTCTTGCTGGATGTATAGTAATTCGGATTCTGCTGATATGGCACACTGTAGTAGAATTAAAAGTGCAACACTAAAATTCATTTGTAGGAATAAAATAATGATTTATATGCGATTGAGTGAAGAGTCTTAGAAGAGGCAGACAGGGAGTTGTTGTTCATGTACATTGTTTGATCATCATTTCTTTACTTTGTTGATTTTAGATCCCTTGTCTCATCAGCAATTCTTTCTTGTCTTTTTTTATTTTTCTGGGATATTCTGCACAGGCAATGCTTGTTCATCCTGACAAAAATATGGGAAGTACACTTGCAAGTGAATCCTTTAAGAAGCTTCAGTGCGCCTATGAGGTTATTATTGAGCATGAAATTTGGTATCAAAGATAAAAAATTTTATTGGTTGGTTTTCCTTGCTGCTCACCCATGGCCATTATGTGCAGGTTCTTTCTGATGCTGTGAAGAAGAGGGACTATGATGAACAACTTAAAAAGGAAGAATCGAAGAGTGTCATACAGAGATCATCTAGCACTTCTCGTCAGGTATAAAGTTATTGTAATCTTCCCTATGCCTTTTAGAGTTTTTATTTTTATTTATTTGTATAGTTTTTGTGGGAACTGAACAGTCTGAAGTTATCTACAAAAGAAACTGCAAAATAAGAACATATCGACTATAGATGAGATAAAGATGAATGATTTATAAGTGCTATTAGTAAGGCCATACGCTGTTGATGCTACTTTCTCTTTGCTGTATAATCTATACTTGCTGAGCTCTAGACTTTGGCTTCATTTACTGTCTGTTTGGTCCGTGTCTTGGAGGCAGAGGGGATCCAAGCAATTAGTTTTGAATGCCTACAAATTAAGTCAGAGACACACAGTAACCCACGTAATGAGACACATACAGAAAGGCACTTACTGTTATTATTCATTTCAAGGGCGACTCTTAGGAGCAGCTTCCTGGTTGATTTTTTATGCAGCCAGCTAATTAAACTGTAGCAGCTTTTTAATTTTTGCATTTGCAAACTTCAATCTCGTATCACCAAACAATATAATTAGTGAAAAGCATTCTAATCATGTTTGGCAATTAGCAGGATAGCTCTGATTACTGCTTGGAAGAGTCAAGACGTATACAGTGCACAAAATGTGGCAATTCACACATTTGGGTCTGCACAAATAGGACTAAGGCCAAGGCCAGATGGTGCCAGGTTGGGCTGTTACAAGCAATAAATATTATGATCCTTGTGTTTCTTGTACATGTATAACATGGTAGTATTTTGTATGCAGGATTGCTGTCAATATCATCAAGCCAAAGATGGCGATGGATGGGTGGAGTACAAAGGATCATTGATATTTGATCAGCCTCGAAAGGTATTTATCATCTAAGGACAACTTTTATCTCCTGTACTTTAAATCTGATCTGATGATAACATTTTGATAGGCTTTTTTTTTTTGGCCTAACTGTTAAAAGCAACAATTTGTGCTAAGCTTGGCATGTGATTTCTTGATCTTTCAGGTGGAAATACCGCGAGCTTTTGTCTGTGCTGAGAGCAAGATCTTTGATGTATCAGAATGGGCCATATGTCAGGTCAGCGTCTAGTTTTACATGCATGTATATAAATCCAGGCTGAAACATCATATTCATATGTACGTCCTTTGTAATGTTTCAGTTTCTACTTTTAAATTTTTTCCATTTTCCAGACACAGCTCATCTCAAATGAACTTCCAGTTTTAAATGGTAGTGTACTCTTAGTGGTGCAACATAACCTTAACCTCAATTTTTGTAAGATCCAATCTATATGTTTCTTACTTAGTGTAAGGCTTGACTGCTGATTTCTGTATATTCCTGTATTATTGTGTAATGCAATTACCTTAAATGTTAAGATTACAGTGATATTGCATTATGAATATATAAAAAGCATTATATGACATACAGGGAATGGCTTGTAGACCCAATACACATCGGCCAAGCTTCCATGTCAACATGGTTGGTTTGGACAAGTCATCTCAGAGATCCAATTCTAGCAGATACCCATGGGATCTGGATGCCGAGGTGATGGACGAAGATGAAGATTTTGAGCTGTGGCTTCAACAAGCCCTGGCTTCTGGACTATTTTGTGAAACTTCCAAGCGCAGAAAGAGCTGGAGTCCCTTTAAGTTGCATCACAGAAAGAAAAGTTGGCGAAGATCATCATGAATGGGAGCTCTAAAATTGTTATTAACCCCTAACTTCCTGCAACAATGGCCAAGCACCACCAGCAACAATCTCCACCTTCAGCGCTAGATTTAGGAGTTAGAATGGGAGTAGGATATTGCAGGTATTTTAATTGCAGTGCAGAGAGCTGCCAGAGAATCTTAGTGGAGAAGATGACAACAGCTGTTGGTGGCAAGGAAAAGTCTGAACAACTTGTTTTGCACGATCATTTATGTAAATAATTGATAACTTTGTTGCGGGATTTCTTCTGTTGGAGATGTCAGTTTTGGGAAGATACAATTGAGCTGACAAGGAATTGATTCCAAAGGGCAAAATGAAAGGGATGCTTTCTTTGTACATGTAAATGCAACCTGATAGCTTTGTACACTGCCAGTGAAATAAAAACATGAAAAAAGAAAAGAAAGTTGACTGAGATTAATCTCAAACTGGGATGGTTGCATTTTAACTACGTTTGAGATTTGTCATATATCTCTCTATCTCAAAAGTGCCCAGGCACTCACTGATCTGCTCACAAAAAATTACTGTATTTGGTCAGCTTGCAAAAAGCTGCGATGTCGTATTCTTACTGTCTGTGTAATGCTAATAGATTTGCATTTCTAAGCTTTTGCAATAAAATTTGTGCAGTGGTTTGCTTCTTTGGCTATATATACTTTAAAAAAAAAAAAATTGCAATCTTTAAGTAACCTGTGTATTTCCTGGCTCTTGAAACAGCATAAGGATGAAGGCTTTGCTTCTTACAAGAACGTATATTTATATCCAAACAGGCAACACAAAGTGGAATGTAAAGGTCAAAAGTGATTGCAGGTAGGAAAAGATCACAGAGGCAGCATTCGTGGAGTGAATCCTTCTAAGCTTCTCAAGGGATGGAGCAAACGCCTAGGTTAACGTTGAACAACTTGTGGTTTTACGTTAATCTCTTTACAAGACCAATGGTACCCTTGGAATGCTGCCCATGCTTTAGCATATTAGCGCTTGTATCGTTGCATGGTTTTAGTGATAGAAACGCTTAGAAGGGGTCTATCTGTGAATATTCACTCAGATAGCTTAGGTGACCGCCGGGCATCGATAGTTATTGAATAATCTGGCAAACAGGCAAAGGTCGTACCTACCTGTACGAGTCTAGTTACCGCTAGTTGACAGTTGCATTTTTTTCAGTCTGTCATCAACCCTCTATGGGGTATGGTGGCTAAAGTTGAATGGCGATCATCGATATCTCCGGAGGTTGTTTAACGAACGACTCCGCGTCCAACCAACAACAACCATCATCTAACTGCAGCAATTCCATGCAAACCACTTGAATGCATGCTACGCTCTCAAATTCAAGATTAAACTGCTCGGACAATATTATTGTTATCCTATAGCGAATATGGTCATCTAACAAAAACGATTGACTGCCACGTACTGAATTTTCTAAACAACTAATTGAAGTCATAATCAAACTCCACATATGTTTAGTATGCACGGGAACCCCTCTATATATTCTTGAACCCAATTGTCTTGCTACATCATCCATCAAAGTTGCATATGTTGCATCCCTGAATAAGTTCTTCAAGGCTCCATTAGAAATACAAGCAACAATGGCAAGGATATACTCTTGCATTTTCGTGCTTGCTGTTTTGCTCTTCTCTGGCAGCCAAAGCTCCGAGGCTGCTCGTCAACTGCTGCAGACAACACCAGCAATTCCAGGTCTACCCGCTATACCATCACTTCCCACCATCCCAATACCAGGCTCAATTCCACCACTCCCATCCATCCCCAACCAACCTTCCATTCCAACAATCCCCGTTTCACTGCCACCGCTGCCTTCTTCAATCCCAAGTATTCTCCCAAAGACTCCTTCCATTCCCGGCTTCCCATTTCCATCTCCACCACCTTCAAAGTAAGCTGTGGCAAGAACATTTCATCCTGGTTGACGTGCAGAATTGCAGCACTCATTTGTTTTCGAAAAATATATTGCCGGAGAAAGAGTCACTTATATAGTTGTCCTTTACCTTTTGTTTGTGGGCAATAAACTTAGGTGGTTGTGCCCTGGTCCTATTAATCGTCTTTTATGTTTTCTCTGTGTTCTCTCGTCATTATGGTTCAGTGATGTCCATGATTTTATTGTGGTCTGCCATTGTACTGCCTTTTCTTCCTAATACATGCCTATGACAGTTTCATAATTTTAGCTTTATGCATTTTGATTCCTTTACATTTACCCGAAGTTATTCAACTTGTATACAACGAGTGCATTAAACTTGTCTAACTTTACATTTAAAACTGAGCATAACTTTACTTAGAGAACTAATGAGCCAAAGTGATTCCAAGTCAACTTCGAAATGAAATCATTAAATGGGTAGACGCTAAACATGGTCCTATTCACACGGATCAAAGTTATCTGAAGAGGCTTTCAATAAAAAGATCCTAGAAACTTATCACAGACAAGTGCTTGTATCAAAACTTATCCTGCTCTATAGCCAGTCACAAATCTCTTGATCCCCGCAAAATCTGATGCAACTTTAACATCACAGAATCTCCCTTCTGATTGACTTCCTATGCAGTCCACGAGAAAGTTGCTCTGTTTTTCACCATTTGTCTGCAGAACAGCAACAAGGTTAAGGGTCAGCAACGAACAACATGACTGTTAAGTGTAGCAGACAAAAGTTCTGGACAAGACATGTGTACATCGTGTATCATTAGGATCCATACTGACTTGTATTCTCCACTCAAATAGTTTATTAGACAATGCCACAAGAGGAAACAGCATTCCGGAACTTCCAGACACGATAACCATCAAAATTATTTGTAAATTCTTTTCACTCTTTCATACTCCTCAGGTAAGGATACATTTCCTACTGCAGGTATTAAGTTGCGTCCGATATAAAAGTTCTTGAAACAGGTGTCTCACAGCAAGCCATGTTAGAGAAAACAAATCTGGAAATCAGAGCAGAGAAGCAACAAAAGGTAGTTCAAAGGATTGCAATAACCCCTTCAAAATGAGTCCGTCTTCCTGAAATTAGCAAGAGCATTGGATTCGTCATGAGTCTCAAATGAAAGTTATAAGAATCTGCATTTTCCATTCCAAAGGAGAAACCTCAAGACCTCGCACAGACATTGAGCACTCCATGACCCGAAATAAGCAAGCCCTTCTAGTTCTCATCCTGCCGGAGGTGCCTATAGGAAATCTAAGCAACGGTCCTATCTGGTAACCAGGCATTTCAGGCAAATATGAGTTGCAACAAGATGAACCTATGCTAATTAACCACACCTACTTGTCTGAATGGATTCAATCCGCTAGAACATTTCTGTAGACCGATTAAAACACCTAACACAGATATATAACAACTATCTGTCTGAAAGAGGTCAAAAAAAAAAAAAAAAAGTTGTCCAGTAGCAATAAGTGGACGCATACATGAGGCACACAGTAGTAAAAGAGAAGAATGCAACTAATAACTAGAAAGTCTGTTAAAGTGCATGTACAGGCAAACACAGACTAAGCACACGGAAAGAGAACTGGCAGACAAGTCAATGACCACGAGGCCTCTGCTCCGTACGAGTACAACAGGAAAGTGCAAGATTTGCTGATATCAGAGCATGGTAATTCTAAGACGCAAAGGATGAGAATTGGTACCTCAAAAGCGAAAAATCCACCAGGTCTTAGCATAGAAGCAGCGCCATTACATATATGGAGAAGGTCATTCATGCCATCAGCACCACCATCAAGCGCAAGTTTTGGTTCGTGTCTACCTACTTCAGCTTGTAGTCGTCCAATATCTTCACTGGGAATATATGGTGGATTACTAACAATTCCGGCAAATTTTCCTTCATCATCCTTCAGAGGTTCAAACCAAGATCCTTGCTTTATTGCAACTCTATCCTGCAAAGAGTACCTCTGCACATTATAAGAAGCAACTGCTACAGAAACAGGGCTTAAATCAGTGGCAATGACTCCTCCACAAGAACCCAAAATTCTCCCAATCCCAATCGCAAGCGCTCCGCTCCCGGTCCCCAAATCAGCCCACAACCCTTCCCTCAACACCTCATTCTCTTTTGTCACATCACTGACAAAGTCCACAATCAGCTCAGTCTCAGGCCTTGGAATCAAAACCCCTTCTTGAACACTCAAAACCAAATCCCTCCAATGCTCACACCCAACCAAATACTGGAATGGCCTTCTCCCCTCAATCCTTTGATTCCACAACATATAAAGATCATCCAAACATGCCCTCAATGGCACCACTAAGCTATCATCGCTATTATCCGATAGAAGTGTAATGGGGTCCTCGAGCGAATCCTCAATGAGCCAGTTGAGCTCCCTGTGCAAGAGGGCCGAGTCAGGGCCGTTGTCTAGGTCCAAGAATTTTGTCCCAACCGAGGAGGCTAAGCCTCTTGCCCAAAGATGCCATTTTTTGAGGTCTGATAAGGTGGCCCTGTAATCTGCTGGGTTGAGGAAGAGGGGAGTCTGAAGCCTAACCGGAGTGGGTGCAGATGAAATATTGGAAAACTTGAGGGGTTGATTTGGAAGACTGGGTTTCAATCTGGAGGACAGAGACGCCCGCACGGAGCTCACCCTCATCTTCTTCCGCTGCGCATAGGCGCACACGCACACCCGGTCATATTCAGCTCCAGCATCGAGTCTATGGGCGGTCGATAATTGGGCCAGCCCATACTTCATGAGACGCAACTATTGACATTGTACTTGGGCTTTGGTAGAGGCCCAATTATTGAACAGCAAATATCAACCTATGCAATAGCCAATATTTGTTGTACATTGGCAGTTAAAATAAAGAGAAAATGACATGTTTCATCCCTCACTTTTCGTAAAAATATTCTTTTCGTCTCTCACATTTAAAACGAAACAAATTGGCCCTTCACATTTAAAAATCCAAACTTTTACATTATCGAAATAAACTCTCAGTTGTGAATCAAACCATCTAACAACCCGGTTACAAATTTTGGGGATAGAATTGATAGATTACTTGCAAAAACATATTTCCAACAAATAAATTAAAACAATTTAAAAATCTTAATTAATACCCATTTGCTTCTTCAAAAGAACGAAACATTGCTAAAGCTCTCAACTACTAAACCCTTAGTGCAACAAAACTGAGGAACATGTCTGAGGGTTCAGTGCTTGAGAGCTTTAGCACTATTTTGTTCTGACGAACATTTGTGTACATTGGCGGTTAAAATAAATTCCCAACATGTTGTATTTGCAGCAGCGCTAGCTAGTTTTTTCCGCCTCATCCTCGATCTCGATGCCGCTGCCATAATATAATCCTTTGTTGTTGGCTGTCTACTATAATAATTGCTCACTTCACTGAAAACGACGGTTACAAATATTCATCAAAATCCTTCTTAAGACTATTTCAACTGTTTAGTTTGCCTTTTACGTAGATTTTGTTAGGAGGTCGACCTCGGCCCGGTATTATAAGCTACATACCCAACTTCGACCTTATTAAATTACGATTGACGTTAATTTTTGAGGCGTGGGAGCAACAGTGGACAGAAACATGAAAAAAAAAAAAAAATTTATTGCCCCAAATCATATCATAATTCGTCGGTTATTGATAGTTTTTTGTGGTTAAGAATAAAACTTGAGTAGGTCGATCACCACAAGCTTATTGATGCGGTGCTAGTATATTATTTCATGAAGATCTCAATAGTGTTTGTCAAATCTGTCTTGCCAGTTTTATACGATGACATTTCTCATCTAACTCTCAATGTAATTAGCCTGGTAATTAATTATACTTCTATTATGGCATTTAAAATAGGGCCACAGCCACAGCGCATGATGTAGCATGCGTCAACCAATTGAGAGCAAAATTGAAGAGAACCACGTCCACATGTTCATTGCTTCTACTATATACTATTATTTTTATTTTTATGTTTTGCAAATTCCCCTCATGCTTGTTAGTATGGAAAAATGTTCAAAATCTTCTTCACATTTTGCAAAATAACTTTTTTCGTCTCTCAATTTTAAAAGTGCACTTTTACATCCCTTGCAAATTCATATTGATCAAATTTGATCCCTATCTAGATTTCCGACTAGTTTTTTGTTGGAATTCATCACCTGCCTTGCACTTGATCATTTTTTAAGGAAAAAATTATCAAATCAAAATTTACATAATCTGATCTATAGTCCCTCATATTTCATAAAATGAATTTTTTTATCCCTCACATTTCACATTTCATAAAATGAAAATTTTTCATCTCTCATTGATCATGTATATGAATAACTTTTTTTTAAACTCGTGTATATATCTATTTACTTTCACTTGAATAATACGAATAGCATGTAATATATCTTTATTTGATTTCGTCTGAACGTACTGTTCAGGTGAAATCAAATACATATATATATATGAGTTTAAAAAAATTGTTAGTTTTCACTCATGTTCATTTCTTTTTACTCAAAAATTGAAAATGAAGAAGACATTCAATCCTAAACATTATCAAGTATTTATATCAAATTAAATTTGGATAGAAAAAATTAACAAAAGAAAAGTATGACAAAGAGAAGTAAGTAATTGACACTTTCAAATTTTAAAACAATCACAATGTAAGAAATTCAACTATTGGTCTTAAAAGTGGCGAGTAAAAATTTCAAATTTAAACTGTAATTTGTTAGCATGACTATAGAATTCAAATTATGACCGATTAATTAGATGGCCTTATTACATAACTCAATAAATTAATTATTATCAAAAGAGAAATGTTACAAATATTGAATAGATTCACATGGTAAAATCAAATATATATATATATGGGTTTAACGCAAAATTATTAGATTTATACCTATGTATATATCTATTGAATAGCATATGCACAATTACAATTAGTCTATTTAGGTGAAATCAAATAGAAATATATTACATGCTATTCGTACTGTTCAGGTGATATCAAATAGATATATACATGGATTTTAAAAAAAAATATTTGTATTCATGGTCAATGAAAAAATTCATTTTGTGAAATGTGAAGGATTAAAAATTTTATTTTGTAAAATGTGAGGGACGAAACAATTCATTTTGTGAAATGTAAGGGATTATAGATCGGACTATATAAATTTTAATTTGACAATTTTACTTCTAAAAAATGATCACATGTAAGGCATGTGATGAATTCCGACAAAAAACTAGTCGAAAATCCAGATAGGAATCAAATTTGATTAATGTAAATTTGTAAGAGATGTAAAAATAAATTTTTAAAAATGAAAGACAAAAAAAATTATTGAATAAAATATGAGCTACGTTTTAAACGATTTTCCGTATTAGTATTATCTTATCATTTCTCTCCAATCAGCAACTAATGAATGGTCTTGAATCTCGATTACCTGCCACGGGACAAGGCACGGGTCGTTGGTTGCAAGCAACGAGTAACGACCCTATTTATTTATATATTGGCGGTCCTGGGAAAACCAATTAGAACTGGATTTGTAGTATTTTTAGCAAACTTCTTTGCACAAAATGGTGTGTTATGCACAGAATTAACGACGATAGAATCCTTGCATACTGGAGAAGGAGTTCTGGTGTTATATTTTTAAACAAGTGAGATTAAACCGGCAAAGTATCTAATTGTAATTGTGTACTTTAAAATATACTAAACTAATTGTAATCGTGTACTTTGATATAAACAAGGTATATTAACTGGAGCCCATCCTTTCACTCGCCTAGAAGAGCAACAACTTATACTGCTGTATAGAAATTGCGAATTCTTCAATGTCAGCTGAAAACAAAAAACATTTTGATATAATCACAGTTAAGACAAGTTTGAAGGTTGAGATACAGTAGCAGCTTATGTCCCGTGCGTTGTTTTTTTTTTTTTTTTTTTTTTTTTTGTCGACACAGGGGTGTCCGGATCAATCCTTACGGGATCCGACTAATCTCCTGCGACCCGAGTCCGGCGCTCCAACCCGACCAAGACACGATAAGTGCACAGGCGTCCCCATAGCGCAGTTTCGAACCCGGAACCTGAAGGTCCTAAGAGAACGCTGTTACCATGTGGCTAAACCCGTTGGGGCATGTCCGGTGGGTTTTTGTACTTTTTTTTTTTTTTTTACATTATTCTCTTTCCAACCACGTTTCGGGTTTGTGGGGTTTCTATTTGAGAGTTTCTTGTCCGAAGAGATCATATTAAAAAAAAAAAAAATCATTCCTAGAGAGTAATGAACATGGGTTTAGCTGAGCATTGGATTCCGTCGTTGTTTTCGGGTGGGGAAGTGTGGGATCTTGGATACAAGTGAGGTGGACGTTGGCGGATCATTTATTTTGACTCCCCACCCAGCTGTTTAGTTTTATATATTTGTCTTCGTCATTCAAATTACTATTCCAACTTCCAATTTCTCAACATCATCAACGTAGCCATTGTCTCTTTCTAGCGTCAAAGGATAACAAATAGATTTTTTCTTTTGTTCTTCTTGTTGTATAGGGAAGAGGGGGTGAAAGGGAAGTAGGAAGATTGATATCAAAATCAAATGCCCTTCTTGAACGAGGAACCACGATCTTAATTACAGTGCACGGAACATGAAATGCACCCAATTGACCCTAACTGGATAGTGCACACTACAAATGAGAAGTTGTATGGTCAGTTGTTCACATCTGTTTTTTTTAAAAAAAAAAAAAAAATTCTTTTTCGTACAGGTGCAGGGAAGGATATGATTTAAGAAGTAGAAAGGGGAAAAGGAAGTAATCCGTTGTCCACATGCTAATATTCATAGAATAAAATAATTTAGAGTATATTAGCGAGCGAGAAAAGATTAAGTGAAACCTTCAATTAAATTTTCGGATATAGAAGAACGGAACTAGTCTCCTTCTTGTCATATTACGGGTTTTGCCCTTTTTTCTTTGAATACGAATGCCTAGTCTTGTCTATTCATTCTTCTTTGTAACAGAAAATTTTAATCTATTATACACTCATGATTTATACACTATCGCAGTCGAATACCACTGGACATATATGTAACATTTGGATGAAATTCAAATTTAAATTAATTATCATGTATTCAACCGTGATAATATGTATACTATTAGTACATAGAAGATTATCTTACAAGGATTTTTTCCTTGAATAAATGAAGAAAAAGTGAATATTTAATATCATGCTAGTGAATTTGTTTGGATGAAAATTATTTTGTCAAAATTTATTTGCTTGCATCATCAACATATTTTTTAACTACTTTTTTACCTCGCATAAATCACATTAAAAAATTGATACGCTTTTTTTTTTTTTATAAAAAAAAATCATACTATCTAAGCACACTCGTTTAACTCTGGGTAAATCATTAATCACATCCCAAAGTTTAATGGTGCGTATTAATTTATTGCATGGTGGAAACGAAATTAAAGTGGTTAAATAAATAGAGGAACAAGTGGGGACACAAACAACAAAGGTGGTTGGGATCATTTACATCTTTTCCAACAAGAAGATGAAAAACAAACATCACCATTCACCACCTCACAAGTCACAACGACAAAACAAAGGCTAAAGCAACGGTTGACCCATGCAACCCCTCCTACTTCAATCTCCCCTTCATGCGCGGAAAGACTTTAGTCGCACAACAACGTAAATATTTATATATTATCACGTGTAGCCCCGCTGACCAGGGTCCCCCACTATAAATTACTAGTAGTACAATAAAGAAAGACGCAATAATAAAATTACAATTACATCCCTAAATTTAGTTCTTCT